ATAAAGGGAAATATTAAGTATGTGAACTTCTTTTTTAGCTTCAAAATTCTTAATTTTCATATCTTTAATTGATGGTTGATTTGGAGCAAAAATGTTTTTGTGTTTCTTGGGCGGTAACCATACTAATAATATACTTCAGCGGTTTTTTTTTTCTTTCATACTAGATTCATGTCTATTCTGCACATCATCGGTACATGTGCCTTTCCGAATTACTAGGCATAATATTTGTCAAAGGCGTCTTGCCTCGTCTATAAAAAAAACCCTGACAAAGGTGTGGTGGCGTTCGCCTGTCCCCTACAAACACTTGGAGGACGAGTGGAGCGGACCATTGCTCAAAGTTCTAGAGTTCGAAAACCGCCTGAGGAAGGAGGGAGACCCCTGTCTGTCTACTTATAATATGAGAAATAATTGGCAACAAAATATCTACGAGTAAAAATTAGCTGCGGCATAGTGTGCTGCTGTAGTCCAGCCTGCTTGGGGGCTGAGGCAGCAGGATGCTTGAGTCCAGGAGATTGAGGTTGCTGTGAGCCAGGCTGACGCCATGGCACTACCTCTAGCCTGGACACAAGCGAGACTCTGTTTCAAAAAAAAAAAAAAAAACTCCTAAGCAAATACAAAGTCTATAATTAGTAGTTGAACTTGCCCTATAAACTAATTAATAAATTTCTAATACAAATTGTTTTTCGTTTGCGATTCCTGTGGAATCCCTTGGTGTTAGTTAGCCACGGGTGATCAGGAAGTCACTTTATAAGATTTGTAACTCGCAAAGCAAGATTTCAGCTTTGAATTATAATAACGAGAGGTTTATATGAAGAATCACCTACGCACTATATAGGTAAAGTTCTCTAAACCAGTTATTCTTTTGTGATTCGGGTACCTTATAAAGCAAACAGGAATCAAAGAATAACCATGTAAAATCTATATGCTTTTAAGTGGGGGCAGGGAGTTTACTATGTTCTTCTCTGAATTATTTCCCTTATCCTTTGAATTATTTTAGAAGTTATGTTCTAAAGAAGTTATGTCCATTGGATTTATTTCAGTAAATTTAGTGGAATCCTGTTTTTGAACCAGTATTCGTCATTTTTAAATTTAAAATTGGTTTATTCTTAAAAACTTAGTCTATTCCATATTTTTATTTTTTAAAACAATGTTTATGTTCTAATTTAGAATATGAAAGTAGCACGTTTCCTACTAAAGCCACCCTTAATTAATCTCAGCTCCCTCCCCTCAAATATACCAAAAATGAGGGTCATTACTCTCTTGTTAGCCTTGTGTTTACATTCCTAGAAAGCAATGAGGTTATCATAACTCAATAATTTAACGTCAGTTCCCATAAAAAACAAGCTTTAGGGGAAAATAATAAGGAACAGGACTAGACATATCAGAAAATAATAAGCTTCATTATCTGTTTAGAAAAACAAATTGTAATGTGGATTATACATTTAAAAAAATTTACTCACTGAAAGAACAAGATGTGCTGGTTCATTCTCTAAAACTTTTTCTTACAGTACGCTGTGTTCTCAATACAAATATCCACAAAGTGCTTTTATTTTCTCTTCTAGTGTCATAACTTTCCCTAGCCTTTTCATACATTTCATATGTATGACTTTTTGAATGTGAAGAAATAATTAATGACAAAAAATAAAACCCGGCCAGGTGCTGTGGCTCATGCCTGTAATCCTAGCACTCTGGGAGGCCGAGGCGGGCGGAGAGTTCGAAACCAGCCTGACAGAGCAAGACCCCCATCTCTACTTAATAATAGAGAATAATTGGCCAACTAATATCATAGAAAAAATTAGCCGGGCATAGGTGGCGCATGACCTGTATCGCAGGCTACCTCGAGAGGCTGAGGCAGGAGGATGTGAGCTAGGCTGACGCCACGGCACTCACTCTAGCCTGGGCAACAAAGCAAGACTCTGTCTCAAAAAAAAAAACCAAATAAAACCAAATATGTGTTTATAACATGTAAAAGTTTGTAAATGCAATTCCAAAATATGAATAGGACAAAATAAAGTCCCAAACAACAAATACACATACACACAAGGAATATACTGATTATCTGTGTAACAGCATATTTGAATAAATTGTTTGGTATAAAGTATGTGTAAGATGATGATGCAGATACCCGAATTTTTCACATTTGGAATACATTAGGATCTTAGTCCACTTAGTTTGGTATTCTATCAAGCAATAAATACCAATATTTGATTACCAGTGTTGATCTTAATTATTCTTGTTTTAAAATTATTTAAATTTTAAAGGTTCAGACAAGATCTTATATTTTTGAGATGTGATGAATTAAAATCTGGCAGAGTGTTAAATACTGTCAATACTAAGTCCCAGAAAGGTAGAATATATTAGACCATTGGTCAAGTCATCTGCCTAAACTCATATAAAGTATTTGAGGCAGATTAATTCTGTTTCTTAAACTTTTCTGGTGTAGTAGTTTTCTAAATTTACTTAGTAAGCCTCCCCTAGCATTTTAAGTAGTATTTAGCAGCTAGTCTTCCTTTACAGGGTCTTATGTGCCATTTAATTCCTAGTTGTATTTGCCTAGCAACAGCAGACCCACCCCTAAGAATCTTAATATAATACAACCAGGATGGGATTTATACTCTGTAGTACCTCAGTTACAGTATTGAGTCTGATTCTTGAATGATCCATTCTGGAAGATATAAAACTGTCACCTTGAAAACCCTTGTACCCCTTTAGCTATTTAAGGGAGCCAAAGTCTCTAACTCCGCTATACTCTATAGGCCTTTTGTTCTCTATTGTCTGTGATGTAGAAGAAGGAGTTGAACGAGGAATTTTTATTCGTGCATAGCAAGCTGTTGTAAATCATATGTCAATCAGATTTTTTTATATCAAGTTAGAAAAGCAATCATAGAATTTAAGCTGGAGAACAGCTCTGGAAATCATTGAGTTCAACCCTCTCGTTTGACAGTGGAGGGCCCTGAGATTCTCCTTTTGTTATTTGTGTCTATCTCACAGGGTGCCTGGCACAGATCCAAGAACTCAAGAAATGTTTACTTAAAGAATCAAATGCGCCAGTAAAGTAACTTGCTCAACATCCCACAGTTAAATAGTGGGGGGACTAGGGTCTAGAACCCAGCCTCCTAGTCCTTTGTTTTATGCTTTTTCCCCCAATTTGATGTGTCTTCTCATTTGAACAGGTCTGTCTTATTCGAGTTGGCAGTGGCTCCTAAACTTTTAAGTTTCTTACCACCATCCTATTTGTCAAGTACTTAAACTTACAAGAAAATAGTTGAAATATGTTTATTCTTTTCTTATAGAAGACCTATACTGAATCTTTTTATGATATAATTAATATAATTTGATATAACAAAATATACCATTAATCACCTTCTGCTTCTATTTTTAAAATTTCAACTTTTGTGTATATTTGATAGGATAGTTTTACTTGCAGTTTTTGATGTTTTAATGCTTTTTGCTTATTGAAAATATCTCACTTTTACACTTTTTTCCCATCCTCTGAAATCCATTCTACCTCCTAGTGAAATACATAAGAAATTAGACTCCCTGCCTGCTGTGTCCATTTTCTACCTGTGAATAACTGTCAATATTTATGTTACAGTTCTCAGAAGCAGAGTTTAGAGCTTACCAGTGATCTCAGCATCCTTCAGATGACTAGGAAAGAGCTTGAGAATCAAATGGGATCCTTGAAAGAACAGCATCTTCGGGACTCAGCTGATTTAAAAACTCTTCTCAGTAAGGCTGAAAACCAAGCAAAGGATGTACAGAAAGAGGTAAAGGAAAAAGACATTATGAACCCAATTATGGTTGGACTTAAAGCCAAAAGCAAATCAGATATCCATGCTAGTTAGAAATAAAAGGAAGTAGAAGTCACATTACCTGTCACAAAGTTGATACTTTGCATATCCTGCTTGGTGATTTCTAGCTCTGTATCAAGGTCCATATATAGAGAATTCATCAGTAGTGGGGTTGATCTCAAAAATACAAATATACTAAATATACTAAATTGACTATACTAAAATTACATTTTAATTTTTCTCTACCAATTAGTTGACATAAATGAGAAGCCCTTTGTATCAGATCACTTGATCCATAGTTTATGTTTGAAAGAATATCATATTTACCCTAGAATACTTTTGGAAAGTAAACTATGGCTATACTATAATGTTGTCTGAACCCTTCAGGTCAAATTGGCCTGAAAAGTTACTTAAAATTCACCTCATAGCCAGCCAGCCAAACACATGTTCTGTGACCTTTTGCCTTCTCTCTTCCTACCTCCTTTTCTCCTTTACAAATATGCACGCTCACTTTTCATGTCATTTTGCTTAAAACCTTGGCTTGGATGGCTCTTTAAAAAATCATCTTATCAGGCCGGGCACGGTGGCTCACGCCTGTAATCCTAGCACTCTGGGAGGCTGAGGTGGGCGGATTGCTTGAGATCAGGAATTCGAAACCAGCCAACAAAGCCGAGACCCCATTCTACAAAATAGAAAGAAATTAATTGGCCAACTAATAAGAGGAAAAAATAGCTGGGCATGTTGCAACATGCCTGAGCCCAGCTACGTGGGAGGCTGAGGTACAGGACGCTGAGCCAGGAGATGAGGTGCTGGAGCTAGGCTAATTGCCACACACTCAAAAACCTAGCCCTGGACAATTAACGAGAACTGCTTCTCAAAAAAAAAAAAAAAATCATGTTATTTATTTCCTGAATCAAAAAAATACAAAAAAAAAAAAATCATGTTAAAAATTATAAGGATTAACTGGGACCAGAGACCTACAGTTTTGGATAAGTAGAATATTCACATTCACAGTTACAAAAAGCCAAAGTAAGTAAATATTGCCAATTTAATTGCATTGACTATACCTGCCAGTTCAGGGGTGAGAAGAATACAATTGATCTTAACAGGAACAGTTGTAAGTTTAAAGATTCTTGGTCTGGAACATGGCTCATCCCGTAATCACACTTTGGAGGAAAGCGGGAAATCTTGAGCCAGGATCAAGAAAAGGGGGGAACATATGAGACTCATCTCACAAAAAAAAAACAAATTAGTTGATGGTAACATTTATAGTCAGCTACTTGAGGTGATGGGAGTACGCTCCATGCAGAGAGGTTATATGAGCATTGACACACCCCACGTACGCACCTGGTTACAAGTGAGACCCTGTCTCTTTAAAAAAATAAATGAACTTTTAAAGAAGAATTCATTATAAATTAGAAGGAAGTTGAAGAAAACTGTTTATATCTTAAAAGAATTTCCTGGCCGGTGTGGTGGCTCCACACTGTAACCTACTCTCTGGAGAGCCACGTCGGGCCAATCAGTTGAGGTTCAGGATTGGAAACCAGCCCGAGCAAGAGTGAGACCCGTCCTACTATAAATAGAAAGAAAATAATTGGCCAACTAATATATATAGAAAAAATTAGCCGGGCATGGTGGCACGTGCCTGTAGTCCCAGCTACTCGGGAGGCTGAGGCAGGAGGATTGCTTGAGCCCAGGAGTTTGAGGTTGCTGTGAGTTAGGCTGATGTCACGGCACTCTATCCCGGGCAACAGAGTAAGACTCTATCTCATAAAGAAAGAAAAAGAGAGAGAGGGAGATGAGAGAAAGAATTTTCCAAAAATTGTTTTTAGATTTACTTGATCAATGCAGTATATTTGGAAATGATTGTTGTTCTTCTGCCTTTATGTTTGTTCCTAAAGAAAAAAATACTGTAACATTTTATATTTTCTTATGGACATATTGATTTTGTAATATGTTCCGTTTTTACCTTGCTAAGGATATATGTTTTAGGAGAAATCTCATTTTATTTGGTTGGAACACAAGTTTTGTGCCAAAACTTAGTATTGATACTGTAAGCACTTTGTGTCCTCCCAGTCCATATGCCATAATTCTTTCAAAATCTGGGAAGAATGCTATGGTTGGAAGATGATTCTGTGCATGTTACTATGAATGCATTAGCCATTTTGTTGCTTGTTTGTTTGCCTGTTTTGGGTCACTAAATAATCAGTGCAAAATGCTGTTTCCACGAATGGCAGTGGCATGTTTGTCACAGCATCTAAATTGTTGATAGTTGTCTTGGATTGCATTAAATGCAACACGTTTAAAAATATGTCTGATCTTGTCAATATGTTTCTTTTCTGTTTTCTTGTTTACTGTTATCCATTGTGAAATGATGTGTAGTCATCATACTCCTTTGTAATGTGAAATTGCTCTCTCTGTTTGTCCTGATGTCAACGTATTAGATACTACTCTATAACTAAAATGTTCTTTAATGAGGTTCTTATCTCTGTGTAATCCATGCAAATGAGTTATTTTTATTAATGCACATATATTCCCCTTAAACATTTCCCCTTTGTTCTCCTTTCTCTCATGGAATCATGCTTAATGTACACAGTTTCTGATTATGTATCTTCAGCACTATAACAGGCAAAATATTACAAGCTAAGTGAGCCCAGACATTATTTTTATTAAGACTAACCAAAGTGTTGGTAATATTGTACAGTATTTTCCTCTTAATCAGGACTGAGTTCATTTCTCACCTCAGAGTTAGAAAGCAAGGTGGACCAAAAATGATATCCAAGCAAAGTATGACACTAAGGCTGCAGAAGGTGACCTTTGTTCCACTAATTAAATTTTTTATATGTGGCAGCTTTTATATGAGCATTTAACAAAGAAAAAGTATATAAGAAAAGTAAATTTTAATCCTCAGTATTAAGGGAGAATAATGATATATCATCTTTGTATTTGACTTTAGAAAGCATCTATATATTTTATTTCAGTAGGAATATCTGTAAGTTAAGAATTTGCAAAATGATGTTTTTTAAAATGTCGATTACAGAACTCTTCTAAAATCAGATCATAATGGTTTGGTTACTTCTCTCTTTTGTGTTAATTCATATTCCTCTGATTATGGAATATCTGTAATTTAAGAATTTGTGAAACAGTGGGAGGCTGAAGTGGGAGGATTGCTTGAGGCCAGGAGTTTAAGATCAGCCTGAGCAACATAGTGAGACCATGTCTCTACAAAGAAAACAGAAAAATTAGCGAGACATAGTGACGCATGCCTGTAGTCCCAGCTACTCAGGAATCTGAGGCAGGAGGATCACTTGAACCCAGGAGTTGGAGGCTGCCATGAGCTAGGACGATGCCTAGGCGACAGAGTCTAACTCTGTCTCAAAGAAAAAGGAAAGAAAGTTGTTTGGCTTCACCATTTGCCATGAAGCCAGAGTCCTTCCCACCGTACTCACATGCTAGAAGTAAGCATCCGGATCTTCCTGGCTGAGGTGCTTCCTGTGGTTCTGCTTCACGACTCTTGGAATGGAGACATGATTAAATGCTTTGTTGCAAAGGGCAGCTGGATGTAACAATGGTGGAAATTAAAAGTAAGGGAAAATTTTCATCAACAAAGCACTTTTTACTTATTCTTTATTAGTCACTGTTAATCAGATCATGGATCATTGAGAATTGATTATGCTCTGAGATACCAAAACTGACTACACTGACTTTGCCTTGGCAACATGCCAGTCATCTGGAATGATGTCCACATATTCTCACATCAACTGCAAAAAGCTGTCATAAAGCCCGTGAATCGAGCCGGGCGTGGTGGCTCACGCCTGTAATCCTAGCACTTTGGGAGGCCGAGGCGGGCGGATTGCTCAAGGTCAGGAGTTCAAAACCAGCCTGAGCGAGACCGGCCGTCTCTACCAAATATGAATAATAAATTAATTGGCCAAGTAAAAATATATATACAAAAAAATAGCGCGCATGGTGGCACATGCCTGTAGTCCAGCTACTTCGGAGAGCGAGGCATAGATCGCTGAGCCCCGGAGATTGGAGGTTGGCTGTGACCAGGCTGATGCCACGGCACCCACCCTAGCCTGGGCAACAAAGTGAGACTCTGTCTCATAAAAAAAAAAAGCCCGCTGACTCTTTATTATTCACTGGTATACCAGCTCGTTGCGTTTGGGATAGGAAGTTTCTTTCATATTTTACCTTCTTCTCTGTACTCACCTTTCTTCCTCCTTTCTGGTGACCTTATGTTGACCCTAATTCTCCTGCTTCCATTTCTCCTGTCTGATGTTTTTTTGTTTTGAGACAGAGTCTCACTTTGTTGCCCAGGCTAGAGTGAGTGCCTGTGGTTCACCCAGCTCACAGCAACCTCACACTCCTGGACTCAAGCATCCTCCTGCCTCAGCTCCAAGTAGCTGGGACTACAGGCATGCACACCATGCGCGGCTTATATTTTTTCATATATATTAGTTGGCCAATTAATTTCTTCTATTATAGTAGAGACGGGTCTCGCTCTTGCTCAGGCTGGTTTTGAACTCCGGACCTCCAGCAATCCACCCACCTCGGCCTCCCAGAGTGCTAGAATGACAGGCGTGAGCCACCGCGCCTGGCCTTGTCTTATGTTTTTGTACATTCACAGTCTTAATGTTTGTCAGCCTTAATGTTTATCTTTATTAAGCATAATGATGAGCTCCTAATTAGTCACTCCAAGATATTTGTGTTTTTCAGAAGCACCATCATAAAGGTGTCCTTTATTGAGGAATTTCTAGGATATAAGTGGAGAGGAACTGGAAACTTTCCAGTCTCACAGGCTATATTTAGCCTTTCTAGTATGCCATACTCGTGGTATATTCATCTTATATTCAGTTCTATCTTTCTGTCTTTCTTCCAAAATCTTCAGAGATGGCAAAATGGGTCAGCAGAGGCGGAAACAAAGACACAGCCAGCAGCAGAACAATCTCTGCTCTTTGACTGGAAGCCCAGCTTGCATGTAAGATGCACTATCTAAAAGTGGAACCGTTGCCTGGGACCATTTAAAGTAGGGCCAGGCGGCGCACGGTGGCTCACGCCTGTAATCCTAGCACTCTGAGAGGCCTAGGCGGGCGGATTGCTCAAGATCAGGAGTTCGAAACCAGCCTGAACAAGAGCGAGACCCCGTCTCTACTATAAATAGAAAGAAATTAATTGGCCAATTAATATATATAGAAAAAATGAGCCAGGCATGGTGGCGCATGCCTGTAGTCCCAGCTACTCGGGAGACTGAGGCAGCAGGATTGCTTGAGCCCAGGAGATTGAGGTTGCTGTGAGCTAGGCTGACGCCATGACACTCACTCTAGCCTGGGCAACAAACCGAGACTCTGTCCCAAAAATAAAAAAATAGGCCGGGCGCGGTGGCTCACGCCTGTAATCCTAGCACTCTGGGAGGCTGAGGAAAAATTAGCCGAGCATAGTGGCACATGCCTGTAGTCCCAGCTACTCGGGAGGCTGAGGCAGGAGGATTGCTTGAGCCCAGGAGTTTGAGGTTGCTGTGAGCTAGGCTGATGCCACGGCACTCACTCTAGCCTGGGCAACAAAGCGAGACTCTGTCTCAATAAAATAAAATAAAATAAATAAAGTAGGGCCAAACCACACTGTTTCACATTGGTCTCACCTGTGTTCAAGAGATAGCTAGTCTATCTGAAAGTCAAATTATATACAGTATACTGTTTTCCAGAGCAGAAAATGGCATGTTTCACTATAGAAAATAATTCTATGAGAAACATATTTTTAAAACTTATTTTTAATTGATGCTTATAAGTTTTAAGTGGAGAAATAGAAATGTCCCAGTTATCATGGTCAGTACTTTAGATACATTTCTTTTCTTCATTTGCCTAGAAAATTCACTTACCCAGAACATTTTAATACCCAATGATACTAGGTAAAGGGAAACCAATTGGCAGTTGATACTTTTGACTTCAAGGCTAAAATAGCTTGGCTGACATTGCTTACCGTGATATAAACTCAGGCTTCCTAGCATTGTCATTCAATTAGACTATGGAATTTTTCTTCACCTGCTTTTCTTTTGGTCAGTTTGAAAGTTTCTTTTTCTCCTATAACTCGGTGGAAAAAGTGACCCATTATATTAGAAACAGATGACAAAATGGTGACTTCTGTTAATTTTTAATTCCAAGGCCAGAAAATTCCTTCATAAAGTCAAGTAAACGAGACTTCTTGTTATGAGTGCAAATGATTCTTATCCTCCTTATAACAAAAAGGCTTGACTTTGGTGTTCCAGGTGACTAAGTAGGGTCTGGTTTATAAGCCTGACTAAAACCATAACTTCATACCCATTTTAAGTTGAGTCTGCACACTTTTTTTTCTTTGCCTTTAGTATGAAAAGACACAGACTGTACTCACAGAACTGAAGTTGAAGTTTGAAATGACTGAGCAGGAAAAGCAATCAATCACAGATGAGCTCAAACAATGTAAAGACAACCTGAAGCTGCTTGGAGAGAAAGGAAATAATGTAAGTCTTTGCAAACTTGGCTTAGCTTTGATTGAGAGGCAGGTGAGAGATTTGAAATTGATTTTCAGAGGACTTTATTACTGATTTGGGAGGCTAATGCTACACATGAAATAAGCTTTTCATTATGAAGTTCTATGATGGAATCATTGTGCAGTCAAGTTTTTGAGTAATATTAATAATTTGCCCCTTTAACCTATACTCCTAGAAGAGCCTGAGGACTGCATGGAGAAAGAGCCTTGTTTGTAATAAAACATCTTACCTGACAACTATCAGCTTTTCCCAGATAAGTCTAAAGTTCTGTCACTAAGTCATCATCTGGCTCATGTTTCTCCCCTACTGGGAAAGGAAGCACCATACCACCACAGACTCATTTAAAAGAGAGCAGTACATGTTGATCTTTAGCATTTGGCTATATCAAAAAAATGGAGACTTAATTATGGTTTTCATTTTATACTAATAATGTTCCACCTAAGGCACATTTCTAAAAAGTATAGTGTATTTTTGACATCCTATAAATATTAGAAAATATTTGGTGAGTTTCTCTAGGGCTTTTTGAGTGTGTGTGTGAGAGAGAGAGAGAGAAAAAAAAATAGGGGAAGGAGGGAGAAAGAGTGGAACATCTTGGTATAAATTGAGCTTAATAAAATTTATTTGTTTTTCATTTGCTAGAAAGGCCAGATGGTCTTTTTAAAAATGTTCTACTAAATAAATGTTGTGTTGTACGTTTTGGTGATCATTACCTTTGTGGGCCTTAACAGATGGATGTTTAGTGTGGTTGATTGTGCTCTGACTTATTTCAAACCCCTGTCATGGCTTGGATACTGCAGTATGCGTGAGCCACATGCTTCCTATGGAGGAAAGCACTCTGCTTAACTCACAGCACAAGCACAAGTGTGATGTTGCGTGGCCATCCAGTTCCTCAGTTGCTCACAGAATGTCCATGAGTTGTGTCCAGCTGTCCTTTGCTAAAGAAAGTCTTAGTTTTTAGACACTGAAGGCTTGCTGCTTTAAGTAGAAGCCTTTTAGAAGTGTATGAATTTAGTGTGGAGGCTTTATGCTAAGCAAAAATGGATTGAATTTATTTTTGAAAATGTTGATTACAGAACTCTTCTAAAATCAGATCATAATGGTTTGATTACTTCTCTCTTTTGTGTTAATTCATATCCTTCTGATTATGGAATTTCAGTCCACTTCCTGCTAAATTAACCCATTGAAGACATCTAGCATAATCAGAGTGGATCCCTCTGTACTATTTAGAACATTTTCAAAAGTAACCTTGCTATGATTATTTGTAGTTACAATTCACCTTCTGGGTAAATTTCCGTTTTTTGTGATGTTGTACTTATGGTACCAAAATTTTACTGGGTAAATAAATCACTGTAGTAATTCCCTTCCAATTTTAAAATTATATTCTGATAACATAAATGAAACCCTGAGACTTAACTGCCTGTCTTTATATGCCAGATCTTTATAATTCATTGTGTCAGATCTGTTGCCTGATTTAGAAAGCACACATTATCACAGGGCATTTATTTTTAAGCAATACCATCTCATAAGCAAAAGAATTTTGGTTGGAGGGGAATAAAAAGGTTTTGTTGGAAGGATAAAATAAACCTTAGCCATTGCCAAGGAATTACATTGTCAAATAATGAATTCCAGGTGTGGAACAAAAGTAATGTACTATAAAGCATCCATTGGTCAAGTGTTGTCATTGCTTTGTCCTAAAGTTCTACATTTCATTAGGGTCTTAGGAACACCCACATTACCCATTGCCTCCAACTGTTCCTTTAAACTGATAGTTGGCCAGCTTACATATCACAGTCCATTATTCTGGATTGTGCTAGATGTCTTTAAAATATTTGAATCAGTGCAGAACTTGACTGGTATACTTCTGTTACTTTAGGCTTCCTTCCTTCCCTCCCACCCTCCTGGGGTCTAAATCATCTTATCTGATTATTTTCATAGCATAAAATGATTTTAATATCCCTTCCCTTCTTTAGCCTTCCATATTACAACCCGTCCCAGCCGTATTCATCGGCCTATTCCTGGCTTTCCTGTTTTGGTGTTTCGGTCCATTGTGGTAGAGAAAGGTACAAGCACTACTGTTGAGTCCTTGTCTGTTTGTCCCCGTCACCTGTTTGTGCCATATTTGTAATATAGTGCATGGCAAAAACACACAGGTATTTTGTTACCTGAAGCAAACCCTTCATTTAGTATGCTATGTATTTGTGTCATACCAATGAACTGAATAGTCAACTAATCACATAACATTTTGTCTTGTTTTCTTTGTAGTAATGCTAACCATGAATTAATTCCAACCTAACCAGTTGTTAATATGCTTCCTTTAACTGAGTCTTTATCTCCAGTAAACTGGAGTAAACTATGAATTTCTATATTAGTACCCCCCTCCCTAATTATGTGTTTAATCATATTTCAATGAGAAATGAAGAGTTTGCCTCTCTAAAGTTTTCAGCCAGCTTTCTTCCCTCTCTTCCCTACCCTCTCCCTTACATAATGTAGAATTTGTTTTAACCCTGTGCCTGTTTATACTGTGGCAATGAAAATCAAAAAGAATGAGATCAGCATAATGAACCCATTGGCTGGCAGCCTCAACCCCAATATGCACTTGTGAGAGTACAAACCTATCCCGTATCTTTCTGAGCAGTGATCTGCAACAACAGAATATTTCTTTAAAAACCAACTTTCTCAGCCGGGCATAGTGGCTCACGCCTGTAATCCTAGCACTCTGGGAGGCCGAGGTGGGCAGATTGTTTGAGCTCAGGAGTTCGAGACCAGCCTGTGCAAGAGCAAGATCCCATCTCTACTAAAAATAGAAAGAATTTAATCAGCCAACTAAAACTATATATAAAAAATAAGCCGGGCATGGTGGTGCATGCCTGTAGTCCCAGCTACTCGGGAGGCTGAGGCAGGAGGATCGCTTGAGCCCAGGAGTTTGAGGTTGCTGTGAGCTAGGCTGACGCCACAGCACTCTAGCCCAGGCAACAGATGAGACTCTGTCTCAAAAATAAATAAATAAATAAATAAATAAATAAATAAATAAATAAAATAGAAACCACCTTTCTCAATAAGACTGTCGGAACACAAGTAAAAATAAAAGTGTCAACTAAAGTCAGTTTATATAGCCCTCTGAAAGTCAACAGAGAGCAGCCCTTCCATGCTTGCCTCTAATTGGCATGCATGTTAGTAGAACCTATGAGATGATCACATGGCTTTCAGACAGGCAGGATCCCTAATGTTACTTCCCACTCTTGACCCCCATCTGATTTTGTCTTCTATGCTTTCAAGTTAGAGGATCAAAGCCTAGACCATTTTCTTTCTATCACCTTAGCCACCAGCCCTAGTATAAAATATCCCAACATGTGGGAGTCTTGTTTTCTTCAAGAAATAAACATGTTAGGCAGAAACATACTACAGGCATCTACATACATCAATTATATTGCTACGAGAGTAAATAAAGCAGGTGGAGCCCAGAAGATTTCTTAGAAGTTCCTACTTGGTTTCAACTGTAACAAAGTTGAAAACTGCCCAGGACTTTCCTGGTACGTGTTAGGCTTCCAAATGGTGGTCCTGCTTTTATGGCTCTCCTTATACCTGTACTCCCTCACTTTTTTTTCTTTCCTTTTTAGACTTTATTCTTATGAAACAAAAATAAGATTTTTCCAATATTCTGTTAAGTATTCAGGACTCCCTGGAACCAAGGGGTTAGTAGGTATGAAAAGAGAGGGGAGAATGTGACACTGACTCTTGGTTTCTTTCCACACAGAAACCCTGGCCCTGGATGCCCATGTTGGCTGCCCTGGTTGCGGTGACAGCCATTGTGCTGTATGTGCCAGGTCTGGCCAGAGCTTCTCCATGAGAGTGTTCCTTGAGTCTGTGCACCGTCCTCCCTCTAGAAGCTGGCATCACACGCATGCTGGGGACAAACAGAACCATTTTCTTCCTTTTTACCTCTTAAAACAGCAGAAGTACAAGAATACAGCTGTAGGATCATTGCTTTAAACAATATAAAATGTATCTGTCTATAAAGAGGATATAAAATTGTGACTTTATTCTACTGTAAGCAATAATTTGCTTGCAATTTTTCATGCAATTTTTAAATTAGTATGTTGAGATTCTGAATATTATGGTGGCCTAAAGTAGGCTTCTTGGTATACCAAATTATTTATAACATTAAATTTATGAGTCTTTTACTCTGAATTCTGATGGCCAGATAATTCATTTTTCTGATTCGATAACTACCCAAACCAAACAACCAACACATACATGGGAAGAGAGGCCCTGTGTGCTCAGTGCCTATCAGTTTGAAATATATACACATATATATATATTTTTTTTACATATTTACGCCATTTTTACTTGTTATAAAAACACTGAGCTATTGGGAACAAGACTTACAGACAACTATTTGCGTGAATTTTTTTTTAAGGAAAAATACATTTGGAAAATACTCTGTTATTGTGATAATTTGGGGAATATATGCACGCTTGTTCAGCCTTAATGTGACTTGAAGATGTGGAGGACATCAACTTTGAAAAACTTTCCATGAGAGTGTGTATTTTCTTGAGCAAACTGAAGTATTTCTGGGAGCAAAAGCATAGTAATTATACAGTTTCAGTGCAGTCAACCAAACTGTTGAGTCAATTGGAATGTAATTTATTAAACCTCATGTATTTAAAGAGATATTTTCTTTAAAAGCCAAGTTACTTTCTCATATACAGCATTTTAGGAAGCATGATTTTTTTTTCTATCATCTGTTCCTCCAAGCATGTTTAATTGAAGAAAGAATTAATATCTCTTTAGATAAGCTTTTATTGACTTAATTTGGTTATGACGTGTCTGGGCTAATTCATGTTCAAGCTGGGCTGTTGTTACCTACCAACAGATTTCCAGGTTGGGTATACAAATGGTTATTTTCTTTTTATGGTTGTTAATTGGGACTTTCTGTTAATGAGAAGCACTATTCCTGAGATTAATGGTATTCTATGCACAATGAAGCACCTAAACACTGCTTGATGTTATAAATTTAAAACACAGAAGCGAAAGTTTAGCTATGGTTTTGTGCAGCATCATAGTTACGTCAATAAAGTTTACTTAGGTCATAGAATATCCTAAAGTATCACATAGTTAAATTTTTCAGTCAGTGAAGACTGAGTGGGAATGTCAGTGAATTGGTTTGAATGTACTGTGGCAATCCACAGGTCTAGCCAAATATTGAAATAGGAGTTTAGGATTTAATTTGCCATGTGATGTTTGGCATTCACTGTTTATACTTTAAACTAAGGTTATATTTTAAGCTATTTGGGATTGCTGTTGGGAGGATCACTAGATTTGTGGAGGAATTAGTCACAAATGACCTTAGAAAATACTGTCATATAGTTCATTTCATCATTTTCTGTTGCAGGAAGCCACTCCACCACAGAATGCTAATATGCCAGTGGTACCTAGTACCTCTTGTATATAGGTTATTGCAAATATTGTTCTGAAATGCTTAACTTCAGAATTACATTTTTTAAAGTAAATAATTGTTTTAAATCTATTTTGTAAAGATATAAAGTACAATAGAATTTCTGGAGTACAAATTAAACTATTTGCACTAACACACGTGATGTGCATGATTTAATAAAATAACTTTACTCTCCCTACACACGTTTGAGTTGGGTATTATTGAGATTCTTAGTGCTGACTCTACTGTTGGGTTGTTAATAGTCTTTTCTTGAAATGACTCTTTATGCAACAAACATTTGGTGTTCTTCAGAGTTAAATGAAAGCACTCAGCTATTTCCTCCAAGTTTTATTAGCCTATAATTTAACTTACTATTCTATTTTTTTCCCTTTTAATTTGGCTATTATCAAAGTGTAACTCACTTACCAGACCAGTCTCTTTAAATGTAAGGTCTAGTATCAATATTTACTTTATTCAAATTGAATAAATGTTTTTTGTAGTTATTTCCAGTTATTCTCAAGAACATAAATGAGCCTATTTATAAGCAATACTTCCAGGTTTGTTAACTTCCAGGTTAAAGAAAGAATAGAATTATTCACTGGTAGGGATAGCATTATTAAGAAATTTTAAGCAAAGCAGTTCAGAATTGAAAAACCTTGTAATGATACATTTAAGAATTATTCGAAGGTGCTACATGGCAAGGTCAGAAAATGAAAAGAACATGGTGTTTGAAGCCAAACAGATTTGTATTGACATCGTGGTTCTGCCTTTGATCAGCTGTATTACCTTAGGCAAATGACTTATTTTTCTTTGAGTCTCCATTTCCTCATCTACAAAACGAGGAGAGTAATACTGATATTTGTGGTAGCATTGTGAAAATTGAAAAGATAATGTATGTGAAGTACCACTTAAGTGGTAAATAAGTGTTTATGAGAATGTCATACTGAAAAAAATTTGCAAATATTAAAGTTTTAGGTGAACCAGTACATCTATTTTAAATGAATTGTTTGATTCAACCGTTAAGAATTCCTATGTGTGTGAATGAGATATGACTGTGATATTATGAACTGCCCCTCTTCATCCCCTTCATAGTATCTCCCAGTGAAGTAATGTGTTTACTTTAGTAATGAACGAATTGTCCAAAATAGTTTTGGAATTCCTGTTATAATTGCCTTCCAAACTACTTTGAGTCACATATGAAAACCATTCACATTGCTGTATGTAGTCAGAGGCTTTCAAGCAAAAATAGTATTGCCTAGCTTGATCACTCACTTTAATCACCAGACTTGACCCCCATTGACTTTTGGCTCCTTCCAGTGATTATACATCTACTATCTAAATGATAGAAATTTGCTGCCAAAGAGAAAAAACTGCATACAAATCAACAGTTCAAAATTGCAGGCTTGGCCGGGCATGGTGGCTCAGGCCTGTATCCTAACACTGGGAGGCTGAGGCAGAAGGATCTCTCAAGGTCAGGAGTTCGACACCAGCCTGAGCAAGAGCGAGACCCCATCTCCACTACAAATAGAAACAAATTAATTGGCCAACTAAAAATATATAGAAAAAATTAGCCAGGGAGGCCGAGGGTGGTGGCTCACGCCTGTAATCCTAGCACTGTGGGAAGCCGAGGCGGGTGGACTGCTCGAGGTCAGAGTTCAAACCAGCCTGAGCAAGCGAGACCCCATCTCTACTATGAAGAATTAATTGGCCAACTAATATGAGAAAAAATACCGGGCATGGTGGCACATGCCTGTAGTCCCAGCTACTTGGGATGCTGAGGCAGGAGGATTGCTTGAACCCAGGAGTTTGAGGTGGCTGTGAGCTAGGCTGACGCCATGGCACTCACTCTAGCCTGGGCAACAAAGCGAGACTCTGTCTCAAAAAAAAAAATTAGCCAGGCATGGTGGTACATGCCTGTAGTCCCAGCTACTCGGAAGGCTGAGACAGAAGGATCACTTGAGCCCAGGAGTTTGAGGTTGCTGTGAGCTAGGCTGACGCCACGGCACTCTAGCCTGGGCAACAGAGTAAGACTCTGTCTCAAAAAAAAGGACAAAATTGCAGGCTTGCTACAAAAAATTCACTTCTGGAAATTTATTCAAAGAACATAATTATGTGCATAAGATTTTAACTTCCAGGGCATTGGTACAGCATTTTTTGTAATGGTGACAGATAACCTAAATATACAGTAGTGGGTCATTGGTTAAATAAATTAATATTGCCACTCTCCAGATTACTGTGCTTACAACGTATGTGGAAAGATATGCATGCTATATTAAGTAAAAGAAACAGGTTACCAATGTAGAATAACCCTTGCTTTATAAAGGAAAAAAATGTAGGCATACAGGCTATGTTTATAGCAGGAAAACTTAGAAAGATTTAAACCCAGAATGTAGTAATGATTGTCTTTGTATGATTATGGTTGAATTCCTTTCCCCCTTTATGATTTCTGATTTATTTTTAGTAGTAAATATATGTTGCTCTTGTTAGTTTTTAAAAGCTACAAAAAGATTCCAAATTGGTTTCCATAGTTGAATGAGTAATTAATTTACAGAAGTACCCACCTTTAAATGGACTAATATTTGGCCGGGCACGGTGGCTCACGCCTGTAATCCTAGCTCTCTGGGAGGCCAAGGCGGGCAGATCATTTGAGTTCAGGAGTTCGAAACCAACTCTGAGCAAGAGTGAGATCCCGTCTCTACTATAAATAGAAAGAAATTAATTGGCCAACTAATATAGAGAGAAAAAATTAGCCAGGCATGGTGGCGCATGCCTGTAGTTCCAGCTACTCGGGAGGCTGAGGCAGCAGGATCGCTTGAGCTCAGGAGTTTGAGGTTGCTGTGAGCGAGGCTGATGCCACAGCACTCACTCTAGCCTGGGCAACAAAGCGAGATTCTTTCTCAAAAAAAAAAAAGACTGGTATTCATTTGCACTTACGAATTCTGGTGTGTTCATTCAACAGTCAGTCTTACAGTTTTAAACATGCTTTGTCCATGTGTACATAGAATTGCAGTGCTAGAGGAACCCTTAGCAATCCAGTCTCACCGTTTTATACATCCAGGAGTAAATCCAGAGAATTTTTGACTTGGAGTCATAATAAGTTATAAAGTTGAGAACCAAGATGTTTATTTCATTTTCTGCTACTCCACATTGTGTCTCCAGGTTTCAGTGGTTTTATATCCAAAAACGTATTGAGTATCTGATAAGAGGCACTGTGCCAGATCCTGGCAATACTTATTCCTATCTTCATAGAACTTTTGGTGTAGAGGTGAGGAAGGAAGCTGGCAATTACAAATGCAATGTAATAGCAGAAGATGTAGGAGCTTATGGAATCATAGAAGAGAGGTACATTTCCTCTCACCTTCAGCTGCCCAACCATCCCAGCCAGGACTATCGGGCTCCGCAGCCAAAGGTGAGTTTTTTCTCTTCCAGATGGTCTGGGGAAAAACGACTAGTTTCTCTTGAAGTACCTGGCATTGAAAACCATTAGCATCTGAGTTTGATTTTCCTAGATTTGTGATTGGAAAGCATTTTTAAGGGTTTGGGTGTAGTGTCCTGGATTTTTCCTTGCAGGTAACAGGTTAACTAGTGCAGGGGGGGGGTTGGTTTGGGGGAGTTTTTTGGGGTTTTTTGGTTTGTTTTTAAGCCAAGGAAAATTTTGTTAGCCGGACTGGCTCTTTGAAAGAAATCTTCTATTAATGGGCTGGGGCATGAACAGGGATGGATCCAGTAATAAACCTGCGCATGGAAGCAAGTGTTCACCATGCTTTATCGTTTGTGTTTACAGCGTAGCTCATTCAGTAGGTTGAGCAGCTGCATTTTTCTTCCTAAAGATGAAGCATGTTTCAGCACATGACTTGTTACCTGTCATGCAAGGACACTGAGATAAGGCCCATAAAACCTATGAAAAAGATAGGAGCACTGAGAATAAATAACAGCTAAGGGGATCAGGGAAGTAAGAGGGGAGCAAGTAGAGGAACTGTTATGCTCCTGCTGTCCACAGCTGCTTTTCACTGCATCTTTTCATTTTTACCATTTGAACTGACCAGAGTGTATCTAGGTAGCCAGACTTCATTTAGAGATTCAGACTTCTACTCTGTGAAATTATATCCTAGGATTTTTCTTGATCCTAAATTTTTATGTACTTATTTATCCCATTATCTTGTTCTACATTAGAATTTAAAGCAGGCATGCCTGCTTGAACAGCATCTGTTCCCTGTTAAATGACAGGATCCTTTCCTGCAAGACTAAGAATCCTTCCTCATGGTAAGTTCTACAAGCATACAAGGGAGGAACTCCAAAGGCACTAAAAACCCTGACCAAAAAAAAAACTTTTTTTTTTTTTTTGACACAGAGGCTTGCTCTGTTGCCGGGACTAGAGTGCCTGGCTCATAGCAACCTCCAACTCCTGGGCTCAAGCGATCCTCCTGCCTCAGCCTCCTGAGTAGCTGGGACTACAGGCATGTGCCACCATGCCCAGCTAAGTTTTTCTATATATTTTTAGTTGTCTGGCTAACTTCTTTCTATTTTAGTAGGGATGGCGGTCTCTGCTCTTCAAGTTGGACGTTCTAATTTAGGACTTCATGTAGCTAATAAATCACGTTTTTAAAAAACTCATATGAATTTATTCAATGATGCAACTTTGGCAAAATAAAAAAAATTTGGGCAGGGCGCAGTGGCTCACCTCTGTAATCCTAGCACTTTGGGAGGTTGTGGCAGGTGGATCACTTGAGCTCAGGAGTTCAAGACTAGCCTGAGCAAGAGCAAGACCTCATCTCTACTAAAAGGAAGAAATTAGCTGGACAGCTAAAATATATATAGAGAAAAAATTAGCTGGGCATGGTCGTGCATCCCTGTAGTCCCAGCTACTCGAGAGGCTGAGGCAGGAGGATCGCTTGAGCCCAGGAGTTTGAGGTTGCTGTGAGCTAGGCTGACACCACGGCACTCTAGCCCAGACAACACAGCCAGACTCTGTATCAAAAGAAAAAAAATTGTATTTTAAATACTTTAGCCAAAATTAGGTGGCGAATATGTATGTGCTATTTCCATGTAAGGCCCTTTTCATTGAAGATGAGTAAGTACTATAATATCACCTGGAATGAATAGAACCTTCTACCTGCTCAAGTCATCTATATTTGAATACCTAAGCCACATTTATTTTTCAGGCCTCATTTTGTAGGAAGGTTCTCAAAACCTGCTATTTTAGTCCATTTCTGTGTAGCGGATTACCCTGAAAATTTAGCTTAAAACAGCAAATATTGTTTCACACAGTTTTTGAGGGTCAGGAATCCAGGAGCAGCTTAGCTGAGTGGTTCTGGCTCAAGGTCTCTTATGGAGTTGCCGTCATGCTGTTGGTAGGGCGAGGTGGGTTTTCTAAGTTCATTCAGGTGTCTGGGAGCCAGAGACTTCAGTTCCTTACCATGTGGTCCTCTCCTTAGGGCTGCTCAGACACAGAAGCTGGCATCCCCCAGAGTAAGTGATTCAAGAGAAAAACAAAAGAGATGGGAATCCACACAAGGGTGAAAGCTGCCATGTCGTTTATATCCATATCTCTGAAGTAACATGCCATCACTCTGCCATATTCTGTTGGTCACACAGACTAACCCTGGTACAACGTGTGAAAGGATTAACCAAGAGCATGGATACCAAGAGGTAGCAGCAGGGATCCTTGGGAGCCAGCTTGGAGACTGGTTCATCACCTAACCTCCCATTAGGAGACTTCTGAATTGCTAATGGACATGATTTTATGAAGTGTATCAAATGGGCAAACTGAAGAAACTTTGGTGAGAAATACGCCCTTCCCCTGACCATTGATTTTGTTGATTCTAAACAAGTTGCAGAAAGTCTAGAACAAGAGAGCACTTAGGAAATGCGTTTCTTAGGATGAGGATTTATGAAGCTTTTGCTTCTTCAAGATTACTGTCATACCTATAATTTAAATTTAGAAATTGTTAGAAATATTTCTCCAATTAGATAGTTTTCTTAAAGG